TGATTCTCGAGGCATAAACTGGTTGTGGCTGCTTATAATCTTTTTATGTACAAAACGACTTACGTGTCGTTTCATTTTCAGTAACAGCACTTGTGCCGCTCTATTGATTTCTCAAATATCTTGCTTATTTCCCAATGCAATGTCCTAAGCATTGGACCCCCTAACTTAAGAATGTCAGAAATATTGATCATGTGACAAAGAACGATTGAATTGACATAAATTATATGATATCGAGTTGGCGAAATCACAAGTCATTGTATTGATTAGTTAGAAAATATAATTAGAGCATATCTCGTAACTTTTTGTAAACAGCATGTTCATCTTGTAACTGAAATGAGTTCAACTTATTGGTTCTCAGAGCATGGACGAGTCGTGGATACTTATACTTGTGTTTATAGATAGAATGACACGATGGTCGTTTTCATTTCAGTAATAGCTCTTGTGTCGTTCTGTTGATTTTTCCTATATTTTGTTTCTTTTCCAACACAACGACCTCAAGTATTGGATCTCCTAACTTAGAAAAGTCAAAAAAGTTGATCATATAATGAAAAACAGTTGAATTGACAAAAATTATACGATATCGACATTTTCATCTCAGTAATGGCACAAGCGTCGTTCTCATGGACAAGTATATTTACAAACATAATGGTAGTTGTGTCGCCTTTACAAACGTTCTTATCTCAGTAACGACACAAGTGCTGTTCTCATGAACATTTATATTTGCAAACACACCACTTATGTTGTTCTCATGAGAAGAAAAACGAGTCATTTACTAATTCATTAGAATATAAGTAACGAGCATATCTCTCAAACTTTCTAAACGTCATATCCATCTTACAACTTAAATTAGTTCAACCTATGGTTCTCACGGCACAAAATGGGACATGGCTACTTATAATTGTGTTTACAAATAGAATAACATTAGGGTTATTTTCTTTTCAATAACGTCACTCGTGCTGTTCTGTTATTTTCTCCTATATTTTGATTTGTTTCCAACATAACGATCTTAAGCAATAGACATGTGATAACGAACGACTGAAATGATATAAATTATAATGGACTCTTATAAGTCAATAACGACACTTGTGCTGTTCTCAAGAACGTTTTCATCTAAGTAACGGCACTTGTGTTGTTCTCATGGACGTTCATAAGTCCAGTAGCATCTTTTGTGTCGTTCTCATGGAAGCTTATAAATCCTGTAACGACACTTGTATCGTTCTCATAGACGCTTATAAACATTTAACTTACATAATCTAGATTAAAAAATATTTGTAATTTTATTTTCTTTAACAAAGATAATAAACAATCCATTTTTCGTACACTTCTGATTCTATTTCTTCCTATGCCTTGTGCTTACACACTTAACACTAATGAATTGTCCGTAATTTGACCAACAACAAACTTTAATAGAGAAATAAAGCCTGAAGTCTTTCTAAAAGTTTCATTATGAATGTGCCTCATGATGAGAACCCAACTCCATGACTTTTGCACGGATACGTTGTTTTAACCTTTACCGGAAAAATTATCATAACCTAATATCCTCATCGTTACTTTCCCAATCAGTCACTATCAAACAACTTGCTCCAAGGACTTCATTGACTTGAATCGTATTTAATGAGCACCTGATATACGAGTTAAAATAAATCATCTTAAATGGTAATGATAGAAAGACAATAAATAAAAGAAACTAAAATTTGAAAAGACCAAAGCAAATCAATTGACATCAACCGTGAGAAAATAACATTAGCTCCAACTTCTCCTGCGACATCAACCATGGCCTGCCAATGTTGATGCATTAGAATATCCAACGAACACAAAAATCTAGACATATAATATTGTAGCAAAGGTCTAAGAATCCTTAATGAACTAGTATCAAGCAAATAAGCAAAAAACTCTCAGAAAAACAAAGAACAAAATATAAAACTAGAATTTAAAATTTGAAAGTGTTGGAAGATCAAAATCTCAATATCTATGTCATAGTGATGTGTTCCCACATAGAAGGAGATGTTGTTTCATGTTTAGGAAGTCAGAATAAATTTTCTGCAAGATAAAAGAGGTGCCCACTTGAGTACTTGTTTCTATTCTTCGCTTAAGCAATCATATGCAGAATTTTCCTGCCACTGCTAAGTCCTGCCTCCGTTTTTCACTCGAGGGAGAAGATATGGTAGCAAGGCTTTTACCTTACTTTTAATGACCTTCAATCTTTCCTCAAAAAATTTAAACTTTAATCCACATCCAAACATCTATATACATATCTTTTCTATATAATTAAAATAACTTCAACTCCAACACCCTCCGAATACACCCTCCAAATTCGTGAACTTCAATAATCTAAATTTCTACTACAATAACTACAATAAGGAAAACAAAATAAACATAAAAAAAACTCAAATTTATGGCTAAAACAGAAATAGTATGAGAAACAAGTCACTAATTCATTATATTACGTATTTACGATTAATATCAAAACAACAAAGGGATTTCATTGATAAGTTTTATTAGTAAGTTTTTTATCACGTTATTGACACAATTTTTGTTCATAACAATGCTAATAGATGAATTCCTCGTTAACCCATTATCTTCAAAATTTGAATTGTATCAAAAATTCATCAACTTAAAAATAAAACCTCAACTAAAATTATACAAATAAACTACGAAATCATAAATTATACATTTTTAACATACTTTTTCATGTTATTCCTGCACCAATTGAAGCATAAAATCACATTTCAAAATTAAAAAAAATTGAAGAAAAACTTACCTCTTTACTATACCAATTTATAACAAAGAGGGATGGAGTGATGTGAAATAAACTTGAATGGGAGAACTTTTTGTAATCTTGAAATGCATAGGAAATTGAGGTGAAGAAGATGATGTTAGTTTCAAATTTAGAGAAAAGGGTTCATAGTGAAACTGAAGAAGAAAGAAGGAGGTGAAAATGAGGGAAATTGAATAAATATTTTTACTATTAATTGAAGGATAATTTTGTCATTTGGCCAATTAAAAATATTTTGAACTTCTTTTTTCTTTTTTAATGTTGATCAAAGGTCATTTCTCCAAACACTTTATCCAACCCGGCTATTTGGCCAAATTTCCCATCCCAAAGTATTGTCGTTAAAAGTACTTAGGGTTATGGTTCTGTGAGTCTAGTCTAAGGACAAAACAAAAAATACACAAAATCTAACATTTATTAACATCTCAAAAATATATTTATTATACTAGGTGCAAGTAACGTGCAATGCACGTTTGCCTAATTTATATTTAATAGTTTTGTTTAATAATTAATTTGTTATTAATAAAGATGTAATTTTTTTTGTTAATTAAATAATTAATGATGTAATGTTTATGTAATTGATAAATAATTAGATGTGTGATTTTGATGTTGTGATGTAAGTTGGTGAGATCGAAGAAAATAAGCAAAAGTTGACAAATTTGGAGAAATGGCTAAATTGTAAGGGATCCAAAGTTCGGGGACTAAAATGTAAATACTTAAAAGTTGTGCCGAACCTCACGATGAAGATTTGAGAGTGCTCGGAGTCAATTGGATAAAGGAAGACGTCAATGGAATCAAATTTAGTCAAAAGATGATCACAAATCAATTTCCAACCGAAAAGTTATGCTCCGATGTTTTAGTCTCATATTGAGACCTATTTTTGGCATAGAAAGTGATCGAATTGGAGAATGATGTCTGAATCAAAGTTGTAGCCAGATGAGTTAGCTTTCCAACGCATTTTGAATCGCCTCAATCGGACATTGGAATACAAAGTTATGATAAAAATACTGAAAAAAGGTGTAGCTGCCTGTTTAAAACAAGAAATTCCGTTACATAATCCGTTAAAACACCAAATTCCGTTAGTTTTTCCATTAAAAACAAGAAATTCCGTTACATAGCCACTTTTAATATATAGAAGATATAGTTACAATATTAAATTCAGATTTACAAAATGTGGGGCTTAACGCATACCTCCTTGTGGTCGGTTGCAAAAATCAATTCTCATCCATGGTGTTGTCTTCAAACTCCAAAGTCTGTGGATCACCCATACCTAAGAAATTTATGGCAGGAGTATGATTTCTTTGTTTTGCGAAAAATGATGAAAATTCTAGTCACAGTGAAGTGAAATTCGATGAGGCCCTTCAATTGAAATGGAGAATTCTAAAAGAAGTGTTGTTTTCACATTTGTTAGGGATGTTTGGAAAGGTTAGGGGCCGTTTGGAAGGACGAATTATTGACGTGGAGAGTTTAAACTATTAAATATTATCACATCAAATTTCCGTTTGTGACGTGGACAATTCCGTCAACGCCTTCAAATGAATTTCATCTCAGTGATGGATGAGTTACGTTCATGATACTTAAGTGAGTATTGAGATACATTTTAAAACTCGATTAATAAAAAGTTACACAAAAAAATTTAGTGACCAATCATTTATTTTACCTAGGGATGTCAATTTGGCTCATAGGTTCGGACGGTCGATCGAGCCGATCTGGCTCGCGACTCGGTAGAACTGAGCCAAAGCTTAGGCCGAGCCCCATTTTGGAGGATTGGCTCGAACTCAAGCCTGTGAGCAAATATATATGTGTGTTACCTTGCACAGAATACATACAACTAAACACCGACATCAGGCAGCTGCGTGACTGCCTTTTTAAAATAATAATAATAATAATAATAATGACGCCGCTCGGGTTGAGTTTAGATTTGTTAGCCGAGCAAAAACTCCACTTGATTCGGACCAAAAAAATTCGAACCATTTTTACTTGAACCAGTCTCAAACTCTGTGCTTCGATTCACTAACTGACTCGACTCGATTAGATCATACCCTATTCGACACGTTAACATCCTTAATTTTACCCTCGTATAGTCGTATATTCTGAAGTTCGAAGACCGACCGAGCCGTAATAGTGCAGAAAAAATAAGCTAAAACCTAGTAGTCATTCTCCATTGCACTAAAAACCTGCAAAACCCTGCAACCGAGGGAGATAGCAACTGAGCAGCGCCAATAACATGAATTCCGTCGAAGAATCTGATGTTGGTATACTTTGTTATATCTCGCAGCTTCCTGGCTTCCGTGGAATTCTCAAGCAAAGGTATCTCTTCGCTCTCTCCCACAATATTTGCATACATCAAATGTACTTGTTTTTTTTAATTAAACTTACGACGATTTTTAGAAATTTATCTAAATTAATTTCCTTCAACGGCTGAATTGTGAACGGGAATGCAATTGTAGAAGCGCCTTCTGATATATTAGTTCAAATGAAGTTCAAGTGAGGGGACCATGTACTGAAATACCCGGGAAGAGTGTATGAATTTTTCTGGCAGAGTGTTTAAAGTTAAGCTTATGTGTATCAAACATTTGAAAAAATTGATGAAGTTGTAGATCCCGTCTGCTGCAGATTCATACATATTGTTAGATAAAGAATTTTAAGAGAGAAAATACTCTTCATGTTTTCTCTTATTCCTGTAAACTTGGTAAATTCCTTAGTTATATGCTTAGATTTATATAAAAAAATATTAACTTGGATATCATTTAAAAATGGTAAAATCCTTGCACTTTTTTTTTTCCCCAGATATTCCGATTTTATTGTAAATGAAGTGGGTTTGGATGGAAATGTTGTGCATTTAACCTCATTAGAGGTTCCAGCAGAGGTATGCAGTGAAATTCTATTTTTCTTTTACCGTTATCAGTGCCATCTATATATTTTTGTTGTACAGATGCTATATTATGGATTGTTTTGGTTTAATAGATTTCTGAGGAAAAGGAAGAAAAGACTACTGTTCAATCTAATAACAATTATGCCACCGAGATGGAATCTTTTCTAGCTCTTGCTGGTGACTCTGATGCGGAGAAGCTGAAAAGTTTTGTAATTCAAATTGCTTCTCATGTAAGCGATGAAGACATGTCCATTGTTCTCTCTCCGAGCTCTGATAAAGCCCATCGAACGGTACTGGTTGACAAATTTTGTGGTATCTTATGTATGTTAATATTTATATACATTTTCTTATTACTCATACTAGAAACTAATGATTTTCAGGCAATTCATAACTTTTTCAAGCAGAAATTGAATTTCCTTGTTACTGACACAGTAGATGGACCTGATAGTTCATCAAAATGCATTCGGGTGAGGTTGAATGCAAGAGGAAATAATGGCAAGGGGAGGCTCAACACCAAGAAAAGGAAAGATCGAGGTGATAAGGCCTATGATAGTAGAGGTTCAGATAGTTGGCCAGAACATATTGGAAAATTCCTTAGGTAGCGTTTCCTCTGCATATTCTTCTCTTATTTCATGCATATGAATGCCTAATTCCTGATCGTTACGATAGTACAATATTCAGTGGCTGCATAATATTTCTTATTCTTCTTAAATATTCTGAATTATGCTATTTTAGGCACAGGGAATATAGCAGTTTGAAAATTGCAATGAATCTAAAAAATAGCACATAACACATTAACAAACTAATCATTACATTACAAGACCATCCACAACTATAACTAAAAGTCTAAAACTTGCTTTGTTGCGTATCTTTTATTGTCCTGCTGCTTATGTTTGAGCCTTTGCCGACGATTCTTGATGTGCATGCCGAGGTAAGATGAAAATTACTTCCAAGTGATGAAAATTATAAGCGTTCTGCTGAATGCTGATTCACATTGAAGATGGAGATCTTAAACTGTGTGATTATGTTATATGGTGCTTATTCTTCCTTTGATGATCCTGAACGTGCCGGGAATTGACTTCATAAAGTGACCACTTGACACTGTTCCTGTACTATCCAGGCTTGGAACTAATGCCTAGTTAATTGATTGGCTCATGCTTAAATTTGAGTTAAGTTTTTAATATAGCATATTTATTTCCCTAGGCACAGTGGAGTTTTGGAGCCTCGATCCAAATTTTGTGGAACTACTTTTGTTGTTTATCTCATCGAAGTCAGTTGAGAAAATAATGGACACAGTGATACAGATTTAGTTGGAAACAATATAACAATACACATCTATTTTAGGTGTAAAAATAGAAACTAGAGTCAGATTTTTTTTTTTTGCCATAATTATTAGTTTAAGTTAGGAAATTTTCTACTATCTTTTTAACAACTGTCCATTATTGGTATTTTATGTATAAAAAGAGTAGCTTTTCTGAATTATGTAGCCAATTGATTTTGTCGTATTTCGTGATACTGAATTTCTCCTCGAGTTTCTCTTTCTAATTCTTGTTTTTCTCATGCCTTTCACACTCTTTAGCATTCTGCATCATATATACTCCCTTTGACTATTTTTGGTCGCTCAAGAAGCTAAAATTAAAAAGTTGTGCTTTCTTGTTGGACTCATAATTGCGTGAGTTTTGCATGCTTTCAGTTCTTGTTCAGAATACTCATCTCCAAATGGTTTGAAGATGCCTATTGCAATATCCCTGAAGAAAGAATCCCAATTATTTGCCTTTGTATCAGTTATATATATATATATATATTCTTTTCCAATTTGATTCACATTCTGACTCTAATAAGATTAATGTGTATTTGACCTACGTTGACCAGACAATATTTTCTGCTCTAACAGGGTTCTACCCTTATTCATAATAAATAGTTGGTTTCAACTGAAATTTCTTGTTTTGAAGCTTATAAAACATTTTAATTTGGTCAGAGTGTTATTGCTAAGGGGGTCTTGCAGTTGTGTAAAACTAAAAGGAATTTTCACTGTATACTGATAGGTTTCATCTCTACAAGGAGAATAAGGATACACAGGAGACATTAGGCCTACTTGGAAAGATGCTTGGGGTTCAGGTATTGCATATATTTACTGACTTATCCATCTGATTCAATGTTAAAGCCAAACCACTGAGTTGATCTCTAAATGGTTGTATCTACTCGACTTTGTTGGTTGATGGATATTACTAACTATGAACGAACAATTTAAACTGCACATTGATTTATGTTTTTGGACTTTCAATTTTTTTTAAATAAAGTTTTTTTAAATTTTGCTGCGAGAGCCAAACCACTGAGTTGATCTCTAAATGGTTGTATCTACTCGACTTTGTTGGTTGATGGATATTACTAACTATGAACGAACAATTTAAACTGCACATTGATTTATGTTTTTGGACTTTCAATTTTTTTTAAATAAAGTTTTTTAAAATTTTGCTGCGAAGTTGATTGATCTTTTCCTTTTTTCTCTCTCTATCTTTCTATTTTGGGCAGCCCAGATCGTTTGGGTTTGCTGGCACGAAAGATAAGCGCTCTGTATCGACTCAAAGGGTATTTTCTTTCATATCTATATTGGTGCACTCGCTTCTTTGACTTGTTTAATATCGATTGACAATTTCAATCATCCTTTTTCAGAGTTTTTTCAGTTGGATGACCAAATTACTGTTACTTGGCTAGAATCCTAATCTACTTTTTGTATTCAAATATCAGGGATCTTATTTGTATTCAGGATATATGGGATCTTTTGGGGGCCAGTCGTAGATATAAACCTTTTCACAGTAGTATTAGTTGCTAAGAAAATTAATATTGGTTGATGGGTTTTATGATAAGGATTCAATTTCTGATGATGCTTCATTGTCGGTGCAAGTATTGAAGAAAATCATGTATAGATCCTTTCTTCTCCCAATAATAACGGCACAAGCCTTGTTTCCATCAAATTTTGTGTCAGCTACATCTATGTTTAACATCATTCCATTCAGATAATTGCTAAATCTACTAGAGGATCTAAAGTAACCACAATAAACTAACTAGAATATTAGCAACAACAGCAATCTAGTCTTGTCCTCTTTCCATTACAACCGTGATCAGATGGAGCACGTGGCTAGTATGGGGCACACCAGAGAAATTTGTATTAAGATTCATGTCATGGATTTTACACTTGCTTTAATCCACTGTAGCCTCCTTTTGTATGGGCTTGGTAGCGGCTATCCATAGGGGAAAACATTGTTAAAAGATGAAGATAAGAAATAATTAAATTTGGCATATAGCGCTCATGAGAAACAGAGTTTCTTGCAACATATCCCTTGCTAATCAATCTATGTAAAAAAGCTGTATATGCAGCCAGATGCTGGTCAGTTCAACATTTTATATGTAAATTGTAGGTATTCTTGAGTTAGCTTTAGATGGATAAGAGAACAATTGCACTGTCTATGCTTGATCATTACTTGTCTTTGAAGCAATTGAGAGTTGGCTGTTTAATCTATTATAAAATTCCGAGTGAACAGTGCACTTCATGGAAGCTGGAATATGAAAAATTGATATGCTAGCTACTTTTTGTATTGATACGAAAGTTCCTAACTAATAGATGTGATTGCTCAATGTGTTCTTTTGAAGTGAATTGCATGGCAACCTAGAGTTCCTTCTGTACAGAGGAGAAAGTGGATTACCAATTCTTTACAGATTAGAGGAGATTAAGGGAGAAGGCAGAAAAGAAATGGCTCTTGCCGATTCGGAACAAATTGAATGCGAATGTTATTTGTCTTTTGCATGTAAAGGAAAAAGAAAAATGAGTATTATTGTAACGAATAGGTTTGACGAAATAGGATGAAGTGGTGATTGTTGGAAAGAAGACGACCTTGGTAAGAGTCGAGTTCTTCTAAATCAGCATTATATCCTAACTTATTTCTTTCCAGTAGTCAAGGATATAATAATTTTTCTTGGATCTGTTGGTTGATAAAGACAGAATAACCGTCTTTTGGTAAAATATGATAAAGAAATTAAGAATGTAGTGTCAGCAGCATAGGATTCTGTGATCAACTTTTTCTGATACTTTACTACAATACCTCTCAACAGATTCAAATCCCATTTTAAGATATCCTAGATAGTATTCTCATCTGTTTATATTTCGTTATAATTGATATATTCCTTAAGTAGTGAGCATGGCAGACTTTGTTGTTAGTTCTAAAATACTTCCTACACTTACAAGCTCTCTGGATGTATCTGTGTTTGCATCATAGGTAACTGTTTTCAAGCAGCGGGCAAGTAGATTAGCTGCGCTTAATGAAAGGTTAATTGGTATTAAAGTCGGAGACTTTTGGTAAGAGCCTTAGAGTTTGTGTTAGTACATTTTATGACGTTTGCAGCATTTTATGACTCAATTACCCTGCAGCTATGTTAATGATGGACTTGTTCTTGGGCAGCTCCAAGGAAACCGATTCACTGTTACATTAAGGTAAAATACATCAACAAATATTTGTTTATCTGTGGACATCGAACACCAGCGCAATATTTCATACATGGATGTTCAATTGAAACTTTGTACATCTTTAGGGGAATCATAGCTGAAAGTGAAGATATTATAAGAGCTTCCACTACTGCCTTGGGAAAGCATGGATTTATTAATTACTTTGGCTTGCAGGTCATTCCTGGATTTACCTCCTCTTGAAAATTATACCTTTATGTTCTCTGTTTTTCATGCTGCTTCTATTCTCTTCATATATGAAATAAGATAGATTAGAAGAATTTGAGGTGGAGGTAAGTATTGTTTCCTAGCCATTTGGTAATTGATTGATGGTGGTGTGGAACTGAAGGAGAATAATGCAAAGGCCTTTGATATAGTAGATTCCTAGATGCAAATTTGTTCATGATGTGAAACAAATTAACAAATGCAAAGTCTAATTCGGTATACAACTTTAGAAGGTTTCAAGTAAAAATTAACGAAAAGATTGTAAATTATGTACGTTAGTCCTCGATTAACCCCTCCCTTCCTCCTCCCTCTGCCAAATCTTGGGTAGAATTGCACCAGAAATTTAGATTATGGTATAATTTCAATTTCTATTAAAAATTTGGAAACTGAAGTTAATGTCCTGGAAGCGTTACTAGAGCTTACATAGATTTCAGGGAACTAAAAATGTGAATGCATGCCTGTTAGTCTTTCATTGAGCCTTCATTGAGTTAAGTTTTACACGAGCTTTTGATAGGCTGCATCAATCCAAAAAGGCTTGATGTTTTTGCCAATGGGAGGAATGCATAACCTTTTTTGGATTCTGACATCTGTTTCAAGATTTAGAGCATTCGCTGTAATAATGATGTGTTGTGTATTCAGAGGTTTGGAAGCAGTTCTGTACCAACTCATCTTGTTGGAGCAACTTTACTTCGTGGGGATTGGAAAGCTGCGGTCGGCATGATTCTAGATCCAAGAGAAGGAGATATCCTTATACATTTATTGTCTCTGACTTTATTTAAATTTTTATCTTCCTGTCACATGCTTGCATAGTGCATACTTCCATACAATAGCAACTATTAGAAGAGCTTCTATAATTCTATTGAATTGTCATATAACCATGTTCTCTATAACTTAGATTTTAATACAAAAAGATGCCACAAGGAAGATGAGGGAATATTACAAGGAGAGTGGAGACATAGAGGGGACCCTAAGACAGTTACCTCGACATCTGGTTGCAGAACGTGCTATTGTAAGTTTTTATTTGTGCAGTGCTTGATCTCTCTTATTTCAGTTTTTGGCGTTAATATGTTACTAAGATTTTTATGTCATGGCCCAAAATTCTGAATATGTACCAACCATAAATTCCAAAGAACTGAAGGAACCATAAATTATCAACCCACTCTGTTTATGCACAACTTATCCTTCTTATCTTGTGCTTTGCAATATTACATTGAATTTTGTGTTTATTCTCTTTTGAACCTGAGGATTTTTTCAGTCATTGTAGTTTCTACTAAATAGGCTGCATTACTTCTGAAGTTTAAATTGTGTGCTTACAATCACGACTTGCATTTTTCTCCTTTTTTGCATTTCAGCTCCAGTGTCTAAAAAGGAATCCTGGAAATTACTTACAAGCTTTGATGGGTATACCGAGGACGCTAAGAATGATGTAAGTGATTGTTCCAGTGGAATATACGCTCTTTCGTGGTGTATGGATTTAATATTTAAGCAGTGTTTTTCTTCTTGTCTGCCATATGCAAATTATCATTTACTTGATTCTTATCGCATGTGTTTGTGGGATGCATGCTAACTATGGTTCAGCTGGCTAACTGTTATCATTCAGCATCTTGGTTTTCATTTTCATCATTTTTTTGGAAATGATTTTAGGTTTTGTGCATGAACCTTCATTGATTCTGGAGCGTGGGTGCTTGCTTTTGGATCATTAGCATGCTCTATCTACTTGTTTGAAGTTTTATATGGTAGAATGAGATGATTTATCCAACAATGAAATTAAGAGGCCCTTAGGATTCTACACTGGAAAAATTCTGGTGTGGTGGTTTGATAGACCCCATTTCCATAGCTGCAGCCAAATCATCCACATTCCAGAAGGTTCACTAGTTAGTTAGTAGGAGGGGTAAAAATGTAATAGGCTGTAGTAAGGATTGCCTATAAATAGAAGGGAAAATAACAGGAAAGGCATGCAAAATACTGAGTATTGGTTCATCCAATTGGGAGACTACCAGCTTCTCGAATTGCTGGAATTTATCTTTCATTCTCAGTGCAATTCTGTCATTATTTCAATATCAATTCTCAGTTGTTATTTTTCATATAATTGGGTTCCTATCAAATTGGTATCAGAGACATCGATCTGAGGGCAATGGCAAGGGGTTATGGATTGGATTCGGTAGGTAGACTAGATGTAGAAATATTCTATGATGGCGATCCAGATTGGTGGCTGAGGAAAGCAAATGAAATCTTCGCAAGGAACCAATTGTCAGAGAGGGAAAAAGTGGAAGCAGCTACGGCATGTTGGTTAGGTGAAGCTTGGGATTGGTTTCAGAAGGTAGATCGAGAACAACCTGTGCAAACTTGGAGAGAATTGAAAGGGTTGATGCTTGACAGGTTTCGGCCATCTCAGGATTCCATGAAGCAGAGGAGGGAGGTAATGAAATCTGATATTCAGAGGGACATGGCAGCAACAATGAAGGAGCTCGACTTGATGATCGCAAAAATGGGAGGCAGAACAAGGTCAGGTAGTGATGAAGCTGGGATATCCCAATTCAAACCAAATGACTGCCAAAGTAAAGGAAGCAAAATAGAATTAATGACGAAGAAATTGGATGGACAAGAAGAGAAGGAGACGAAAAAAAACACGCAATCAATCGAGCTGAAAGCACTGCTGATTTTGAGATTCCATTAAAATCCAAAGTGGCGGAAGAAAGTGCAACTGTAAGGATTCACCTGGACGAGTCTGTGAAATTAGAAAATCAAAGTCGGCCAATGAAAAAGCCAGTGTTCGTTGGGGATAATCTGCACGCCTGGTCTTGTAGAGGAGATGAGAAGAGGCGGATCTGGGTGAAACGGGAGGAAATCGAGATAATGATGATGAAGAAACAGGAAGAAATTGGGATTAAAATTGGGGCTGAATTTCATATAAAATATCCTATGGGCTTGGTTATGAAATTGGACCAAGGAGTTAAGGACTGCAAAACACTGGCTCAATTTAATTTAGTCCCAAATATGAATATCATCTCTCATGTTTTCCTTCATCACCGGCATCACGTGAATTATAATCACAGGCCAATACCCATTTTTGTCCCAAAAAGCATTGTCGTCACCATACTTCCACCCACGCCAATGGAAAAAGGTCCTCCTCCAATTAACAGGTTAAATGAAACTCCGGTGTCTATGAGAATTATGTTGAAGGCATCCACAAAAAGAGGGCAGAGGAGTACGGAGGCACGTTTGCAAAGGGAAGAAATCGTGCGACTGGAAAATTGAGGTCGTCGACTGGAGACTCTGGTTTCTGAAGAACCAACCAGTAATTCTGAAACTCCACTACAATATATGAAATTGGTATATGTGCAGATAATTGGAACCACAGAGAAGAACTGGGAAGGACAGAGACACGATCGTGGGCTCGAAATGCCGATTTCTGAGGTACTGGTAGCTCTATTGCCTGATAAAGAACAGTCGGTAAGGAATGGACTGGCCGTTACTTCGCCGGAAACCACCCACGCATTTGAATTACCACCTCAATCGAATGAAATTTGGGTAAATAGAGTCAGCCGAAATCGACCCGAGGTAACCATCGACGACTGGAAATCAATTGAAATTTTGCCATTACCACTGCCGGAGGAGGGGAAGAGATTGGAGCATGTTGTGGAAAGGGTACATGGAAGTCGGCTGAATCACGATAAGTGTAAAGGGAAATTACTGGAGTGGATGGGTTTAGATGTTGACAAGAAGCTGGCCCAACAAGTAAACTACAAAATTTCATTTAAGCAAGTCCAAGACGTAATGGGCCTAAATAAAAAGCCAGCTACCTTACACGTGAGAATAGAAGAGACAGGAGAAATAGTCTGGGAAATGGATGCAAATGGATTTGGATGGGAAGGCGGCCACAAAATTGGATGGATTTTTAATACCGACAATGATGTGGAGGTGGGCGATATGCTGGGATTGTTAATTAATTCGATAGTTGCAAAAGAAAAGGGAGTCGCGGAGTTGATTAATGATAGAACTTCCCACCATTGCACCCCAATTTGCCAGTTTCATCGGTGGGAAAACCTGCAAAGGGGTGCTG